GAAATCGGAACTTACTTTCCGAACCGCCCTCGTACTTATATAATATATATTATAGAAACAACAAAACATTGAAATAATGCAGTTTAACTCGATTTTTGGGAATTTTTTTCGGAAATCTATATTTCTATATATATATCTATATATTTCTATATGTTTCTATATATATCTATATAGGTTTATTTCTTCGAGTTAAGCACAATGATACAATCAGAATTTGTCGGTCATCAGACTAAGTTCCAAGGTTATAATATTTTGAAGTTCTGGATTTTGCGTACCTATTGATATTACCCATAGATAAGCAGATTATTCCACGAATCTACATAGAAAATGCAGCTTAGCTCCCAAGCGATTTTTGAAAATTATTTTCAGAAATCTATAAGTTTCAACGTGATAAGTACAATGGTGCAATCATAATTTGTCGGGCGGACTTATAGTTCCAACTTCCAAGGTTATAACCTTTTGAAGTTTGCAATTTTAAGTATTTTACGTCTTCGCAGATTATTCCACGAATCTACGTACTCGAAAAAGTACATTTAAAACTTAATACCTATGTAATTATTTATTTTTATATATGAATGCATTTATACATTTACCTACCCTATACTTACATTATACAAATTACAGATCACAATAGTTGCAACTGAGAGGTTTTTATGATATAAACAATTTTTTTTTTGTGGGTGATGGGGGGGATATGTTATATGTAGATGTTTAAATCCCCCCCCCCCCACAAACATGACCAAATTACGCCAATGCAATGATGCTGTAGCTGTTGAACGGTTAAACCACTTTACACACAATTTGGGTGTTCAATATTTTGACGTTCAAGATGTTGACGTTCAGTTGTTTGAAATTCAATGTTTTGAAGGGTAATCAGAAAAAAAATCCCCCGGAAAAAAAATCCCCAGCTACAATATTACTCACAAATCACAATCACATGCAAATGGTTGAACAAATATATTTTGAACGTTAATTAGTATCTATAATTAATATTTAATGACAAATACGTATATTATATTATATTATATTATATTGTTAAAAAATTATAAAAATATTTAGAATGATCGATACGTCAATTAATAATACAGTTAAAAACATAGTATACAAAAATATTATACAAAATATAGGTACCTATAATTATTATTATTATTTATTATCATTATTATTACCACCTATATTTCGTATAAAATGTTTGTATACCTACTATATTATAACCTACTAAATATTTGTATACCTTGTGTTTTTACTGTGAGTAGGTGCTATAATACATTCAAAATTCAATAAATTATTGTTTGATAATTTTTTTATTATGATTATAGTTATTATTATTATTGATATTACCATTTACCACCTATATTTTAAATTTTTTATAATATTTTTATATACCTACTATGTTTTGAACTGTATTCTTTGACGTATCGATCACTCAAAATATTTGTATACTTTATATATTTGTGTACACTACACCTCACACAACAATCATAAGTAATATTTGAAGTTTTGAAAACGTAATATTTTATTTCAGGGATTTAATTTTTACAGAATTATACCAACATAAAATGTGTATTAATATAGTAGCATAAAATATTGTTCTTAATTTTTCAAAAATTATTTATAGTTATTTATTTATATTATTTTTATTACCTATATTATAGATTCTGAGTGAAACGATGAATGTATTGATTTTACAATGATGTGTGTTTTTTTATTTTTTTTTGTGTCTGTCATCACGTTTTAGGACAGTAAAAGTTCTTGGATTTTCTTCACCAGTAGCTTTTCTGATAGGAAAGTGAATCTAGTTGGTACTTTGGGGGGTCGAAAGTAAAAATTTTCCAGTAGTTTTCACAAGCGCCGGGAAAAACAACTTAAAAATTAAGGAAAAACGGGAATTTTTACGCAAAATCTTTTTTCCAAAAAATCGATTTTGGTTTTTGGTGTACCTCTAAAAGAAATGAACGTATATACATGAAATTTTCACTGGTTGCTTATATTTGAATTTTATATACACGATAACGTTTTAAAAATATTTTGATTTATTTTGAACTGTTTAGAGACATTTTCATTTTCCATCTTTTTTTAGTTTTTTTTCTAAAAATATCAATAATGTAATGGGATTACGTAATTCATGTACAACGCTCATAATAACAAGAACTACTTATGTAGAAAGCGGCCTAGTCGACCGCACCCAAAAGTGGTCATAGCTAGAATAGACGCTTTGAACCACAGCAACTTCCCAAGGGCGCCTACATGCCACGCGCCGCTCAATTCAAAGGGCGTCGCCTTCGTATATTCGTATATATAGAGGCCAGGGCCCCAATACGAATTAGATGTACCAGAGCCGCCAAGACCGAGACAGCAGCTTATGCACCAGCCATTGCACACAGCCTTACACGGAGATTATCAACTACTACAACGAGTCAACTCACCACGCTGCAATTTCACCACGACTACATTAATTATTATTGGTTTTAATAAAGTACAATTGATTCATATTTTAAATTGACTATATTTTATTTTAAAAGAGCAACAGCTGAAGGGCCGTTCGTAACACTGGCGCAGTCGAAGTAGGATTTCTTTCAAAGGAGGCAACCCGTCAAAGGCTACCGTCAACAAAGAAGAACTGATCACTCTTCCGAGAAGACAACTCCAAGAAGAACCATCAAAAACAAATAAATCACGTAGCGGTACCAACAAATCCATCAGCACCGTCAACATGTTCAGCAACCAGGAACACAGCATTATTGTGAGTGAATAATTATTTTAATTTGTTACATAGGCATATGCAACATAATTAGGACATATTAGATAATTCTAAGTAGTTGACTATAAGTGTAATGGTGTAAAACGTTTTAATTTTATCGAGGGCATATTTTATTGAATTTATTGAGGGCATATTTTATTAATTATTATTGAAGTTTATTGAATTTATTGAGGGCATTTTATTATTGAAGTATTATTGAAGTTTATTGATTTATTGAGGGCATTTTTATTATTGAAATATTATTAAAGTTATTGATTTATTGATGGCGCTTTTATTTTAAAGTATTATTGAAGTTTATTTAATTTATTAAAGGTCACATTATTAAAGTTATTATTGTATTTATAGGGCATTATTGAATTATTATCATGAGTATTAACGTATTAAATAGGTAGCTAAGTAATTTATTGACGAAAAAGGTACATCTCCCTTGAACGTAGCTAATTCATTGTATGACACTAGTGTAGTAGAAGAAGCCCAGTTAGAAGCCCAGTTTGAAGCCCAACAGAAAGCCCAGTTGAATATTATACGAATACGAATTAAATATTTAGCATAATTATTGAAAAATGTAATAGTCGTCACTACTGATACGACTAGGAAATTTGTATTTACATTAATTGTATTGTGATAAAAATTAAAAAATATAAAATAGCAATACTACGAATGCCACCTATACTACCTCACAAATATTAAAAATATTATGATTAACACTTATTAATTATATTTAAATTAATAAAATCAATTTGTGCGGTTTAATTTTAATAATGCATTTATGTTAAAGCCTATAAAATATATTCAAAATCCAATGAATATTTCTAATTTTTACTCGTCCTAAGTAAAAAAAAAGAGTTCTTTCAAAAAATACACTTTAATTTTTAAATTATAGAAATTTCTTAAATATAAAATTTCTGAATTCTAGTCTGAACATCACTAGTCGTGACTCATAATAATTAAATAATCTAAGGTTATTAATTATCAGTTATTACCGACTTCTATCGCCAAAAAAGAGTCAGAAAAAAAGTCCGTTTTAATTTATTTTGGAAAATAAATCAGACCACAAAATTACTATCGTTTCGATTTTCTTTTTCATAAAAAAATTCTTCTTCAAGACATTTTTTAAATCATTTAAAATTATATTTAATTTAATATTATATTTAATATAATTTTAAATGAATAATACTGAAAAATAACTTTTTTTAATAATGTAAACTATTATTGATATAAGAAAAAAGTAGGTAATATAATTTAAAACTTTATTTTGTTTAATAGGATGTCAGCGCACTATGTTTTCTCCCTCTGGCCAATGCGCGACATGAACAAACCGCATTTACGCAGAATCATTTTTTCTATGTTTATAAGTAACCTTTAAGGTTACCTATAATTAGTACTAATTTATGCGTTATCCTGTCATCGATTTATTAAATGTTGGTTATTTCATATTTTATCTTTATGATGGTAATGTTTACATTATGTGACACTGCTGTGTCTAAACATTTTAAGGTTTACCTAGGTATACCGTAAACAGTGATAAATCAATTTGTATTATAACTGCTAGAATTTTGAAGTATTATCACGACAACGGCATCGCGTTCCACAATTCAATATATCCGTTATTTAATATTTTATATATTAAATGTTCTGTTTGAGAATGTATTATTTATACATTTTTCAGTACCTATGTAGCTACACTTATTTATTGGCAGTTTGAAGAGTCAAAAAAATGTAGCCACACAAGTCTGTACTCTGTGCTTATTTGAAACTGAGTTAAATCTCCCAAATTCCAACTTTGCAACATGCAAATTAACATGTACATTGTTTAGGGATAATTCCATAAATAATAAAATGCTCAAATCCTAAATAGCTTAACTTCTTGGTTGGACTATGATGGTGGCACTATGTCCACCATATTTTGTACATCAGTTTTAGTATATAATAATAAACACTATATTTGATTTCAGATACTAGTAGACAGGAGGAATGATATATTGAAATTATACAATCAGTTTGAACCAGAAAAAAAAAATTTCACTAACAAAGTGAGGGCAGTACTGAATAGCTACCATTTGAAGTGAATCGCATAGATTCTGAAATTGTAATTGAAATTTGCAAGAGGTTAGGACTAGTATGGAATGCCGATAAATGGAAAGAACAATCATTGAAAAATCATTATAAAGTAACTTCAGCTTTGCGTCGTATTTTTAAACAGGACAGTAAAAAGGTAAAAACACCAGTTGAAAAGGTAATGTTATATGAAAATATTGGGCAGGTGTCTGTTGGTGATGATTTTTTGTCAAGTTCTAGGTTAATGGAGACAAGTATTACAGTAAAGGAGATGACTGATCATGGATCTTTATTGTTGAAACCAAATCTCGAGGAGTCGATTGTTGATGAATTTATCACTCCTACAAAACGAAATGAAGTTATTGATATTGTGGAATGTCTTAATGATCAACTATTAACATACAACTGCAACAGCGATATTAAGGGGAAAATATCACAGGTGGAAAATTTAATTACAGATGAAAAAACTCCTAAGAAAAAGGTAATGTGTGGTTCCAATGCAGAACAGTTATCTGTTGTTGATGAAACTTTATACAATTCACTTTATACAAAGAAATGAGGATATTATGGAAGTTACATCTATCTATTCGTCCAGTGTAGAGAATATGTTGGACACTTCTAATGATACTGTATTGTTGGAACAAAGTCCTAAAGAGTCAAATTGTGTGTTTGTGACTCCTACTCAAAGAAATGTTGCAGGAACTCCTAGAAGAAAATTATTCCATGCAAATATAACTGGAACTTCATTGTTTGAATGTAATAGTTCAATTGATTTACTCAGAAACACTGGTAAAACGAGAGACAAATTTATTAGTCCTATAAAGAGTCCGTTAAAACGTTTAAATGATAGACACTTTAATAAAAGCCCTGGGGAGCTTTTACCACGAGGTTCTAAGAATGTGTTTCTCTAAACACTAAAGGAGAATATTATGAATGTAACTTCAAAGAAAGGGACTTTATAATTCCAAAAGATGAATAGAATCATATATTTGAAGACGGAAAATTAAATATAAAAAGGTATACATAAACTTATTTAAATTTGCTTAATATTATATTTATATATATAGAACTACTTATACTGTATTTAATTTGTTTGATTTATTACTCTATTAATTTGTCTTAAAAAGTTGAACATTTTATTAACAATAGTTAAATCATCACAAAAATAATTTATATAGATATTGTTAGCTTATATAGTTTTATTTAATAAAATGTATGACCTCTTCTTCTTATTCTTTTTAGCTTTTACAGTCCGTTTAGGACCTTCGCTGCCTCAACCACTTCTTTCCACCTATCTCTGTCTTCGCTATCTTCAATCCTTATTAATTCTTCTGAGATTTCCGTGAGATCCGTTTTCACTCTGTCCTCCCATCTCTGTCTTGGTCGTCCCCTAGGTCTTTTACCGTTTAATTTTCCAGTGAAAATATTTTTTGCAATACCGTTCGATCTTCAAATATGACCCGCCCATTCTAACCTTTTGCTTTTTAGATACGAACTTATAATGGGTTTATTGAAAATTTGGTATATTTCTTGGTTAGTTCTTCTTCTATATTCCCCATTCTCAAATACTGGGCCATATATTCGACGTAGTACTTTTCTTTCAAATATATTTAACTTCTCCTCATCTCCTTTAGTTTCACAGCCATACGTCAAGACCGGTCGTAAAAAACTGGAATATAAATTTTCTTTTGACTTCCTGGACAAAAATTTCGACTTAAACAATTTCGCAAGTGCATAATATCCCTTGTTTCCTGATGCAATTCTCAATTTGATTTCGTTGTGCATATTGTTATGGTTGTTTATATTAGTTCCTAGATACTTGAAATCTGTTACTTGTTGGAATACATATCCATCCACTAGCATATCATCCAGAGCCCTCTCTTCTCTTGATACTACTAGGTACTTGGTCTTTTCTTGATTGACTTTTAACCCTATAGGTTCAGCTGCTTTGATTAGGTCTGCAGTTCTCATTTCCACATCAATTCGAGAACTACCAATTATTACGATATCATCTGCGTATGCTAAAATAGTGTTCTGTTCCAGAATTTCCATATTTTGTCTAGCAGGGAGAGATCTAATTACTTTTTCTAAAGCCAAATTGAAAAGTATTGGAGAAAGCGCGTCTCCCTGTCTTAGGCCAGTCCTGACTTCAAAACTTTCTGACAGTGTATTTGCAAATTTTACTCTACATTTTGTTTCGGTATTGCACTCTTTTATCAGCTGGATTAGTTTGGTTGGTATACCAAATTCCTCCAGTGCTTCCCATAGTTTTCTCCTTATAATACTGTCGTACGCCTGTTTGAAGTCCACGAAGCAAAGATGCACTTCTCTGCCATACTCATAGTACCTTTCTAACAATTGTCTGATACTAAAAATGGGATATGTTGTAGATTTCCCTCTCATAAAGCCGCTTTGGTAGTCTCCAATTATGTCGTTAGTATAGACTTCAAGCCTTCGCAGGATTGCTATCGACAGAACTTTATAGCAGGTGTCTAAAAGTGAGATTCCTCTATAGTTTGATGTTTCCATCGGGTCTCCTTTTTTATATATCGGGCAAATGATCGCTGTTTTTCAGTCGTTCGGGACTTTATCACTTACCCATATTTCTTTGATCAATAGCCAAATCTTTGATATTAATTTCGGGTTAGCTGTTTTAATTAGTTCCGCATTAATATTGTCCTCCCCCGGTGCCTTATTATTTTTTAGAGATTTAATTATCTGTGTTATTTCTTCATATTCTGGTTCTGGTAATTCTGGCTGTACCGAGTAGTTAGTGGTATGTTCTTGATATTCCTCTGGGTGTACATCCTCGTTAGTAGTACTCAGTAATTCTTTGAAATGTTTCCGGAATTCTTCAGCTATATTTGACTCCTCTGTAATCAAACAGCCATGGGCATCTTTAAATATGTTGGTTTTGGCTTTAAAAACCTCCTTGATAGATCTGCATTTCCCGAAAAATAGCCGTGGATTCCTTCTGTGTTCTTCTATGCTTATTATTTTTTGTTTTTCATACTCTCTCTTTACGTTTCTTATTTTCTTACTTGCAATTTTTCTGAGATCCTGATATCTTTCCACATTCTCCGGCGTTGGGTCCTGGATCATTTCCTGTCTAGCTTTACTTCGCTTTTCTGTAACGTCTCTACATTCGTCATCGAACCATGGCTTCTCTCTGGTTTGTGTTTTTTTCTTAAACAAATAGGCCGCTTTATTAACAGCTTCCTTGATGATATTCCACCCTTTTTCACTCGCAGGCTCCGTATCCAGTTTATTTGATTCCAAGATATTGTTAAGATTATTATGGTAGGCAGTTATTTCTTCCTGGTTTTTTATTTTGTCCATATCTAATCGAGCATTTTTCTTTATTCCTTTTTGGTTCATATTCCATTGTCTCGACAGTTTCACTTTTAATGAACTAATAACCAGGTAATGGTCAGTGTCGCCATCCGCTCCTCTATAACTTCTTACGGAATTTATACTAGATTTAAATCTTTTTTCAATCACTACATGATCTATCTGGCTTTTGTATTGGCCACCTGGGGCAATCCAAGTATGTTTATATATATCTTTTCGTTGGAACTGCGTACTGCTTATTACCAACCCTTTATCTGTGCAGAGACTAATTAATCTCATACCATTATCGTTGCTTTCTTGGTGCAAACTTTCTTTGCCCACAATTGGTTTGAAAATATTCTCCCGCCCTACTTGAGCATTAAAATCTCCTACTACTATTTTTATGCTTTCTCTAGGGGTATTGTCAAGTACTCTATCAAGGTCATCGTAAAAAAGATCCTTTAGTTCACAATCTGCTGTTTCCGTTGGGGCATAACAATTGACAATCACTATATCAAATGTTCTCCCAGTTAATACTATGTAGCATATTCGGTCATTGATCGGTTCAAATTTCTTTACTAATCTCGACATGGATGACTTGATTACAAAACCAACCCCATTCTCGTGTTTTCCATTGTTCTTTCCGCTAAAGAACACTGTCATATTTTGGGATTTGAGATTGCCCGATCCTGGCCATCTAATCTCCTGCAAACCCACTATATCAACATTGTATCGGTTAATTTCCTTTAATACGCATTGTAAAGAACCTGGTTTATACAGAGTTCTGATATTCCATGTTCCAAATCTCAAAATTCCAGCATTTCCGGTCCGGTTACCAATTCTGTTATCCAAATTATCAAAAGATTTCCGAGGCTTAGTGGTTTTTGGTTTCTTAACAATATTTTTTTACAAGGAAGGGTCGTTGGCCCTTCGCTTAACCCCCAACCTGGAGGACCAGACTACCCCAACCAATTAAGGTCAGGGTAGGGCTACTGCAGAGCACTGAGCTTAAGTGCCCTGGGCGATGGGGACGCCACTTTCCCGACGCCAAAATGTATGACCTCTAATATACTATTAATAAATATTCTAATAACTAACACCATAAATTTAATAAATAATAAAAAATCTTAAAAAACATATTAATAATTAAAAATAATCTAAATATGGTACGGAACACAATTAAATAACTTACAAAATATTATTCTTAAATACCTACTAAAAGAACAACAATAATAATATAAATAAAAATAAGCGAATTGTGTACTACAATAACAATAACATAATACTAAATAATATATGTTAATGATCAATATAAATTTCGGTACTAGAATGAAAAGGTTGTTACACCGACACATTTATTGTCTCCATCTTACAAGTGCCTAACATAGCAAATTGTACGCTCAACAGATTACGTTTAGCTCTGTTAAAAAACTAGATTGAATTGACCTCTTATAAAATTTAAAGGTAATATTATCATCTAGGGCGTCTCATAGGGTTTTTATTATATTTTAATTTTAAAGCGAGTATAATTATTTGAAGACCTAGAAACAATATACAATTTTAAAATACTCATAACTTGATTTAAAATTAAAAAACAACAAAAGGTCTATGAGATGTCCTAGGTACCTATTAATCTTACCTTTAAATTTTACAAGACCTCAATTTACTCTAATTTTTAAACTAACAGATGTTAGGCACTTGTAAGATGGAGACAACAAATGTGTCGGTGTAACGTCCACTTAAGTATTCATAGTATACCTTTATAAAATATTATTAAAAAGGTATAATCATAAACCATTTATCAAACGCCAAATTGTTTTGACAGTATAAACTGAAATTTCTTGTTTGCATGAATTACTTATAATTATTAGAGAGATTATATTAGAGAAGACAATCATGAAAATTGCAAAGGGGAGCAAGTTAATGAAAATAATTAACTCAAATTAAGTTAAGAGGACACAATATCGATAAGTTAAAAGTTAACAGTTAATACATTATTGATTTAACTCAATAAGATAAAAGTTAATATGGAAAAAAATATTAACTTAACTCAGTTTAAAAAAAGTTAATCTACATTTTTTAATTACCTAGTATGTTGATCGCATAAAGAGTGACAGCTTTATTTCTAATTTCCAAAATTATAATAAACAATTTTATTGAACTTTTGATGTAATGTACAGTGTAAATACCTATTTTACTTAACATGTTTATTAAATATTAAATTATACCAACACACCCTTATTAATAATTTAATAAATATAAATTTGTTTTATCAAATAGAAATTTTAATCCATATACTATTATGCCTAACTAATCTAATTAAATATACTTATCCATTAACACGATTCTTTTATCAAAAAAATAACAGAAATGTTTGTATAATATTATAGTATTGGATTATTTTTATTTTAGTATTAATATTTCAAGTATAACACCTTAACAACAAAAATTAAAAATAATATAACTTGATGGATTATTTTTAAATAAACTGAGCAAAGTTAAGTTAATAAACTTTCAATTTAACTAGTTAAGTTCATAAGTCAATAAGAAAATTAAATAACTAGTTAACTAACTTGGGGCA